AGTGTAATGGCAGTACGTCCGACCGGTAATCGGAAGGTCTGGGGTTCAATTCCTCAGTCGGGCAGTGGTCTTTTTCCGTTCTGTCGTGATATAACATCTCGCTGGGTGATTACGGGGCGTAACACTCACTTTCGTCTAGCTTTTTCTAGTCCAAATTCGGATCTCGGTTTGAACTAGTCTAAAGTCAGATTAAAAAGAAAATCTCAGATCAATCCGAGATTGTACTGAATTCTCTAGACCAGTCTAAGATTGAACTAGGCCAAACTCAGATTCATGTTGCCTTCATATCAAACTCAGACGATTTGTTGATTACTACAAGTTTTAATAAAGATAGATAAAAACTCTTTTACAACATTCTGTTAGCATTTTATTGTAATTGTTTAACATGGACGATAATTCATAAGGACTAGTGACATTGGAGTATGATTTACCAACAGTTATTACTGATGGTGGTAATGGTGTTAAAAACGATACTGTAGTCAATGATGAATCTACAACCGACCTACGTGATGCTAATGACAATAGCAATATTAATAGGGAAAAAATATTCAATGTTAAAGTTGAAGATTATAAAAATAGTTTTGTCATTATCGATGAGAGAAAAATCAATGATATCATATTCGTATGTTAGTACAATTATTAATGCGTTAAAACATGAATCAGCTGGAAAGAAAGTTGGAATAGACTGTAAATTTCGTGCCTGGTGTCGTCAATATTTTAAAATTGATAGTAGTTCTGGGGTCGAAATGTTATGTTCAGCTAAAGATGAAAATATTGAAAAATAGTGTTTCTTGCTCAACAAAATGTCATAAAAGTAATGATACATCTTGTCAAAATCGAGAAAAGTGAAGACATTTCAAGACATTTCTCAGTTTTGCACTGATATTCTTTTTGCTTTAGACTTGGTTATTCTTATTAAAATCTACTCACTGTTGAATAAGAAAAAAAACCCACACTATACTCTAATCCAAGAATTTCTCTGATAGAATTTTTGCCAGAATCTAAATCTCTAAAATCTCTAACCTGAGATTTTCTTTGTAATCTGACTTTAGACTAATTCAAACCGAGATCCTAGTTTGGACTAGAAAAAAGCTAGGCGAAAGTGAAATCGGAGTTTGGACTAGGTCAAACTAAGATCTTAATTTCACCTAGGCTAATCCCCTGAATCCGAGTTTGGACGCTGATAGATATCTTAGCCTATTTGTCAAGATAAAATGTCTCTACATAATATCTCCCGGTTATAGAAAAACAACAGAAATGTTATACTATGTGTGCAACGTATTTAGCAATCCACATTCAAAACTAATCCTTCCTTGTTTTCTTTCTCATGACTTGAATGGAAAAGTACAAAATACATAAAAAATAAATCCATAAGACATCTGTAAAAAGCTTAATTCTTGTATTGTAACCAAGTGAAGTCAATAACATACAACGAGTGATAGAGAATAAGTGATCCTCTCCACATTTTTGTGCATAATTTCTTTATATTTTTCAACATATGTTCGGACACAAAAGCTGAAGGCAAAATAAGACATTTTCTCCTTAGCATAGGAAAAGAAACAGAACTATTCAACCTATTGGCAAATTTCCTACGAGAGAAGTCTCAACGAAACGCGAAATTTTTATTTTTTTAAAAAACGGTGAAAAATGCAGTTTTTTATAGCAAAAACTGGAAAAAACGTGATTTTATCAAAGACGGTTAGAACGAAGAAAAAATACTGGCGTTTCATTCCGTTTTCTTGACTGTTTGAGAAGAAAACCGGTTTAAACGTTACTGAACAAAAACGCGTTGGCCTTCCTTTTAGTTTTGGTTGTATTTGAACGTAATTTTAGGTTCATCAGATGAATATTCTTTGTCAAAAAACGTGTTGTTCACCGTTTTTTAAAAAAAAAATTTCCTGTTTTATTGAGACTGCTCTAGTAGAAAATTTGGTAATGGGAACTTTCTCTGTTCGGATACGACAGACGAATTACTTTACTTCAAGATAAAATACATTCTACCTCAAAATGGTTTGAAAACGCTGAATTTATGATAAAATCGCTAAAAGAACGAATCTCTGCTCGAACCGCTTGTGATTATGAACAGTTTCGACAACAACCACTTAGAGATAGAGCTTTTCAAGGACTACAGAAAGTCTATCTTCTACTTTTGTTTATCTCAACATATGACAAGCTAAAACTGAACAAAACTGTGTTTGAGATAAGAAAATTAGGGAGATTGATGCTTCAAAGCACTTTCTCTATAGTTTTCAATTTCTCTAGTATGTTGGTTATGTCGTTTGTAGCGGCTGAAAATGGCGAATGTTTGAAGAAAATGGCGACGTTATTCAAAAACTATGGACAGCGTCATTTAATCTGTATTGCCCGTTAATTCTAGGAAGTGAAAGCGAGGTTTTGAACGATTGGAAAGAATTAGTTCAAGTAGTTTTAAGTATAAGTTGTGACTGAAACCGTGAGCGTCATCAACACGTCTTTATGTACACTGTATTTTTCTAATGTAACAAAATCAAGGTCAAATGATGCAAGGTCAGATAAGAGAAAGCACTTTGTGAATATGAAACACAAAAGAAAAGCAACAGTAGGATTTAATCAGAATCAAGTAAAATTGATTAAGGTCAAATGACGATAATAAACGATTAATAATCAATACCCACGAAAAAAAATTTTTGGATCAAAATAGAGATGAATATAAAATGGATTCTAGTAAAATTGCAAATTCTTTATCGAAAAGTAAGACAGTTTTCTAATTTTTTAGAACATTTCTTGTGAAATCTCCATACTGTAGAGATGAACATCGTCAGATGAAGTTCATGAAATGCCCAATGTTTTTTTTTCTTGTCAACTTCAAAAGAGCCTGTCTAAAAACTTTTGATCAATGTTGATGTCTATACAATCATTCAACTAAATACAGTGTTCACAACAAATGTCAACTACATCAGAGTATAAAACACAAGATTATTTGGAGACACACGAGCACAACGTGGAAAAGGCGACGTTTTTCTTTCTTAGTATTACAGAAAATTCCTCAGCACAACATTGTATAGCATTTCAAGAGCTCTGGAAAGCTCCCGAAGCCGCTTTTCCTCCCTTGTTCAAACAACTGTGTACAACACCATCTGTCTTCATTGGACCTACCATATTCTTGTGTTGATATTGATATTTTTCTTGGCGGTTGATTTCGTTGTGGTTGTGGATTATTCCGAATTGAATCACTGAGTGGTACGGACGAAACAGAAGATAGAGGAACAACTGAAAGTAAACACAAAAACAAACATAGTTAAATAAAGACGATAAAAAGAGTTTTAAGAAAGGTATATCTCTTTTCGAAATAGTTTTGTTTTTCAGTTAAACATGATGTATAACAGAGAGACGTGCTCATTTACAAAATAAAAAACCACTTCTAGTTCTTCACGACACCAGAAACATACCGATGTTTTTAAGTTTTTCAACTTTCAAAAACGTTTTTCGTCATTATAGTGCTTGAAATATTTTTTCAAATAGTTACTTTTATAGAATAAAGAGTTCTGTACAAAACAAGATTATTCTCAGCTCTACATCATGTTTTCGAATAGAGTTACGAACATTTTACCGAAAGCTCTCAAAAGAGCGAGTTTTGCATTGCAACATTCCTTTCTTAAATCTATGTTTGTTTGCTACCAGACTTCAATGTGTCAAAAATAACGACTCTCTTTAGATTTCATACTGCTAAATAGAGGTACTATCACAGAGGTATTCTTTCGGAATTGTTTTAAGATCTCTATTTTCCCCAGTATTTCTAAAATTGAAAACTTTGGTTTTTAAGCATTTTTTCTATAACTCGATAAGGAAAGATCTTAAAAAATCCCTTTATGATTCTACATTGAGTACTTCTGATACAAATGTTTGGTTCGATCAGATGAAATGTAAGAGTGGTCGTAATATGGTACAATGACAAACTACATTTTTTCTAGAAATCTCGTAAACATTAATAGCTGAAGACTTGAAACAAAGACAAAAAAAATAGACTTCACTGAGTTTTCAATTCATTCTGGGAATATAGAGACTTAAATTCATTTTTAATTTTTATTGTGATAGCGTTATAACATCCGGAAATCGCCATCACCGCGGATTCAGTGTTAAAGTGTTAACACTTTAACATATACGAACTCGCGGCGAGTGATGGTGAGGGTGGAGAAGTGAGAGTGAAGTGGGTGAAGAAGTGCTCCATCCTCATCCTCACTTCCCCATCCTCAATTATGCACGTTTACACTTTAACATATAAGAATCCGCGGCGACGGCGATTTTCGGATGATGCCGACAGTGTGTCTACGGAAAATCTAAAGAGAAATGAAAAATATCCTTAACCAGGGATGAGATTGAAAGTTAAGAAATTTTCTTCCAGATTTTTTACAGCGGCGTACTATAATAGACACTTTGCCTCTAGATTGATCTCAATCATACCCGAAGACATATCAGAAAATCATTAAGTTAAAATTTGAATAAAAGAAAAGAATGTGAAGAAAAATCAAATAAGATTAAAAAGCAGAAAACATAAACAAATAGTTAAAACACGAAAGAAGTTACTGTTTGTTTTGTTGATGTTGATGAACGAACAAAGAAATGCCCTGACCTTAACACATGTATCATATGCCAAAAATCGATTGTTTAGAAGCGAGAGAGTATGTTTTCGCAAGCATAGACTAAAGATAAATAGACTTTCATAATAAGACGTTTCTACTATTAATCGGATATTTTCTTTTCATCATCTTTAACTTTTAATTTAATTAATTTGTAAAAATAAGAGTCGTTCAGTTTTTGACAGTTCATACATCACGTATTAGAGCTAAACTTGCACTTTACACTCATTTAAAAGTAGTAAAACATGCGAAAACCAACGTTGAGTTTAAGAAATTGACGATATGCTACTATTCATTTCTAAACAGATTGATCACGATTATTTTTTGAATAAGCCGACAAAAAAAAGGCGATGGGCACACACCATCTTGGAGCAAAGATCATTCGCCTAGATATGCTGACTTGACAACCTCAAACTTCCAGGTGGTGTATTGGACAAGTGAAACAAAGAAAAGTTCATCATGCACCGAAATCAACTCAAATTATATGATTAAATAGCCCAAAGTATCTTGTACAAAACTAAGTAAGTTCTTTTCGCTTTCCTGCCGAAAAAAGCTCAAAAACGTCCAGAATCGAAAAATCTTCCTTAGAAAAGT